GTGTGTCTCAGGTAGAGGGAAGGGCATATGCAAAGGCCCCAAGGCAGAAGATTTTTGAGATATAAGACTAAAATGAATATTTCTTCATGGAATGGCCTTTCCAGAATTAAAAAATGAAGTGGAAAACAACTTACTAAGTTTTGCATTTATACTACTTTATGAGGGTGTCTGTGTTCTAGCCCCTGGAAATGAGGAAATGGAGATTAATCAAACCAGACATGTTCCTTGCAAGACTAATGGAGGGAATTAAGATGGCTTCTGTACAGACAGACCATGGTGGAAGGTTATGTTGCATGCCAGTAGAAGGATAGAAGGAGTAACTGTTTCTGCCCATGGGCATTGAGGAAAGCTTGTCCAAGAAGGAGACACCCTAATGGGGTTTGCTGTAGGTGTTTCCCAGGCGGATACACAAGGGAAGAAGAAATCCAGACTGAGTGTTCAAAGGCATGGAGGCAGGGATAGGAGGGTGATTTCAGAGAATGGTATTTGGGAAAGGTCTCTTAGGGCAATTAATGTGCTTGGGCTTTATCTGTAGATGGTGGGAAACCAGGGGAGATTTCTAAGCAGATGAGTGGCAGGTCTGGCTGTAATATGGAGAATATATGGAGGTGTGGTGGAGCCTGGAGGCAGAAAGACCCATGAGGAGGCTGGTGCAATGGCCCAGGCTAACGGCCTGAATTGAGACAAGGGTTATAAGGATAGATAAGAGAAGAAAGACGGGAGAGATATTTCAATATAAAACCTGTAAGAGTTGGAATTGGACTGGTTTTAGAAGGCCAGGGAAAAGATAAGACTTTGCAACTTTCAATCATGGATGACTGAATGAAGGCAGTGCTCCTTGATGAGACCAGAGATGCCAGGAGGAAAGACAGGATTTGGAGGGTAGTTTGGTAGAGAGGGATTGGAGGGACGTCGAGGGCTTCCCATTGGTACCATGGACAGCTCCAAGGATCTCCAGCCGCCTTGGACTAGAACATGCAGATCAATGGTTTTTGACTCTGGCTGCCTTAAAATCAGCAGAAGAGCTAATTTAACATGCAGACTCCCAGGCCCACCCTGATGTTCTGCATAAAAGTCTCTGGGGTTGGGGTTCAGGAGCCCGCATTCTAAATAAGCACCCCAGGTAACTCAGGCACAGGCGGTCAGATGACTCCACTTGATATACTGAAATAAAGCCATGGTGGGCTCTAGAGGAAGAGATGAGAGCGCCCTCTGCTGTTAAGAAAAAGGTTAGACCTCTAGAGTTTATGACTTCTGTATTTAACGCGATTTATTTACAGTGAAATCCTGGGCCAAAACAAAGAAACAAGAGACTTGGGATGATGAGTGAGAAAGAAGGGCTACCTTGCTTGATCCTTTCACCTTGTAATGAAGAGTGTGGCAAAGTTCACTTGTATGCGGTTACGATCACTGTCTTTAGTCCGGGATTCTGTTACACCTTCCCAACCCCATTCCCTAAAAAACATCATGTGGCTCCTTAAGGTGAGAAGATAGATCCCTCCCCTTGCACCAGCTTTGAAAACATATGGAAACCCACAAGAATTAAAAGCAAGAGCTTGAAAAAGTATTTGTGCATCCATGTTCATAGCAGTTTTATTCACAATAGCTAACAGGTGGAAACAACCCAAATGTCCATTGATGGATTGGACGAAGACAATGTGGTGGATACAATGGAACATTATTCGGCCTTAAAAAGGAATGAAATTCTGTGATGATTTCTATACAGACAGACTATGCTACAACATGGATGAACTGTGAAGGCATTATGCGAGTGAAATAAGCTAGACGCAAATGGACAAATATTGTATGATTTCACTGATATAAGGTACCTAGAGTCGTCAATTTCATAGAGACAGGAAGTAGAATGGTAGTTGCCAGGAGCTGGGGGAGGAAGGGAGAATGGGGAGTTATGGTTTAATGGCTATAGTTTCAATCTGAGAAGATGAAAAAGTTCTCGAAATGGATGTTGGTGATGGTCATTGCACAATAATGTGATTGTACTTAATGCCACTGAACTATACACATAAAAATGGTTAAAATCGTAACTTCCATGTTATGTTTATTTTAGCACAATAAAAAAAAAATGGCATAATAAGAGGAGCAGTGGTTAATGTCCTCAGCTTGACTGGGAATCTGTAGGGCTTCCCCATGGCGTCCCTATCCCACAGGGAGCCGAGAACAGGGAAAGGTGTCTCCCCTGTCAGAACGGGGGCCCTCCCAGGAGCCGTAGGTGTTTCTTCAAACCGATAGCCGCTCCCCCGAGGGCCTGGTCTTGTCATGTCCATCATCACACTAAGGTGCCTCCCGATAGCGGAGTTTCTTAGAGTGAGTGAGGTTGCGCCTCCTCCTTCAGACTGGGAGTTAGCTCAGCCAGCTGGTATGCAGGTGGGGGAAAGTGAGCCTCTTGTTGGAGAGTTTGTCTCTCCTTCCCAGTCCCCAGGCTCAAGAGCCCCACAAGCGCCCAAAGACTTTGTATCCGCCCATTGCATCGCCAGCCTCTCTCTCCCAAGTTCTGCGCGTTCAGAAACCCAGCGCATTCTCCCCGCCGGGCGGCCAAAGAGACTCTCTGCCCTCTTCCAAGATGGCCGCCACCGCCTCTGTGACAGGCGTGGTCACGTGGGTGCCGCAGCCTATGAGGTCGCTGGGGCTTTGTCGGTGATTGTCCCTTTCCGGGCCCCGTCCAGAGGCGGCGACTGCCCTTGTCAACCGGAGCCTGAGCGATCATGGCAACGGCCTCGGGCGGGGAGCGCGCGGCAGCGGTGGCAGCAGCGGCAGTTTGGTCGCGGACCGGGGCGGCAGAGCGGCAGCGGCGGCGGCGGCGGTGGCAGTGGCGCTGGCACCGGCCTTGAGCGCCATGCAGCGACGCAACTCCGAGAGGGAGTTGGCGTCCCGGTGGGAGACGGAGGCGGTGGCCGCGGCCAAAGCGCAGGCGGCGGAGCGGGTCCGCGTGGACGCGGGCGCGGCCGGGGAGCCCGAGCGCAGGGCGCGGGAGGAGCAGGCCATGGACCCGGCCCCGGCGCAGCCTCGCGCGACCGAGGAGGGGGACGCCCGCGTTCTTCCGCGGCCGCTGCCCACATTGACCGTGTCCAAGCCCAAGCCGGCGCCGGCGCGAGGTCTCTGGACGCACGGGAAGCCCAGGAGCAAGGGCCGAAACTGCAAGCGGAGCTCGGGCCGTCGGTCGGACGAGTACCGCTCTCAGCGGCCCGTCACCGTGGACAGCTCTAAGGCCAGGACCTCCCTGGACGCCCTGAAGATCAGCATACGACAGCTCAAGTGGAAGGAGGTGAGGCGCGGCCCCGCCGCCTGGGCACAGGGGGGTGGACAGGACAACCTCACAGGGGTCGGCCTGGCCCCTGCCAGGTCTGAGGGCTGAGCTCCAGCTGTGCGCCATCCTTGAGCCTGCAGCTGCTCATCCTTCGAGGCCTGGCCCCCAAATCACTTCCTCCAGAAGCTTTCAGCCCCCTCCAGGTCAAGTTAGCCACTCCTTGCCTTTGCTCTCCTACAGCGCCGTGATCTCCAACCCTCAGCACCCGCCTCGCCACACTGTAGACATTTGTTTATATGTCTGTCTCCTCCACTGGCTTTTGAGTCTGGCAAGCCTGGGACCCTCCCTCTTTCACTTCATTTAAGTTCTGTTTGTTTAGCACTAATGTGGGCTCTTGGGCAGTTTAACAGTTTGTACTTTGGAGGCAGACAGACCTAGGGTCTCGCCATATCCTGCCACTTTGCCACGTGACCTTGAGCAAGTTGCTTCGCCTCTTAAACCTATTTCCTCTGTAAAATGAGGCTAATGATACCTTTCTCATAGTTTTTTTTTTTTTAGTAGTAGTAGAAGACTCACTGCTTATTGTAGAATAGCACAAGACTGCAATAAATACCACCCTCTCCTTACCACACGCTCTTCTCCATCTTCTTCCATTGCCATCATGATCACCACCATCACTACCACCATCACCACCACCACCACCATCACCACCACCACCACCATCACCACCACCATCACCATCACCATCACCATCATCATGTCAGTGCAGGCACTGTATCTTATGTTTCAGGGCTTAGCATAAAGTAGGTGTCAGTAAGTGGTGGATGAAAGGGTGAATGAAGGAATGAGTTATTTGTCTCTGAACCCATTTTAGAACTGGTGGGGGCTGGGATGAAACGCCAATGACATCCGGAGGTGTCTGTTGCAGTTGGCTGAGTGGGTAAAGCCATTGGACTTTTCTGCAGCTTCTAAGGCTGTTTAACTAATTTCAGGAGTATCAGGATTGTGATTTAGGGTAGTCGAGTCTGGAGACTTAGACCCAGATGGTCTGCTGGTGGGACCGGATCTGCAGCAGGCAACCTGAAGACTCAGGTACTTAGCCCTGGGCCTTGGCTGTAGTAGATGTCTAGGAATAGTTTTATAAAGTTGGAACGTGCAGAGAGATGGCCACAGAAAGGATTGATGAGGTCACTCCTAGCAGGAAGGAGTCATATGATTTGGAGAGAAGTCAAGAATCAGGTAGGGCAGACTCCCAGGTAGGTAGGGTTAGCCATTGGGCAAGTCCGACTCTAGGTGTCAGGGCCTCCAGCCTTGGGGCTCAGGATTCAAGGGGTGGGGGTACTTCTGAGCCTATGACATCCAGAGAAAGTGAAAAAGGGCTTCTGGTTCTGGACAGGATCCCAAGTCCAGGGACTGAAACCAGGACCAGCAAGATAAAATTGGAGAACTCATTAGTGCCATGGTCCTAATGAAGGGAGAATCCAGGGACTGAAACCAGGCCACAGAGTTAGGCAAGGCTCATTGGCCCAAGTAGGGCCTGCGCTTAGCTTAGCCCTGTAGGGGGAGAGAGACATGAATGAAGCTGGCTAGATCTTGAGAGATGGAGCCAGGTGGACTCAGAAATCAGCAGGCGTACATGCCAGTCCAGGTTCATTCACTCT